TATTGCCGTGCATGCTGGGTTGACAGTCCCTGACGTGGCGGTGAGAGTGGCGAGAGCCGTGGCCATCCGTGTAGGGCTGCAGGATGTCCATGTAGGGCGCCTGGATGTCACCCATCGCCAACACGCTTAAGAAGGATGGAAATGTACAGTTTTAGGGCAGAAAAGAGCAAAGGAATGTTTTGAGTCCATCAAAGCCACATACAGTAGATATTCCATGCGTTTAGATTTTTTTTCCCTCAAATATCTTTTACAGGTTAGTTTTCAATTATTTTGAATTGCCTTATGTATAGGTGGAAAGGTTCTATACCTTTTTGTGGTGTAGAACTGTGGGCTAATTTAAAATACGTTGGAGGAATTCGGGATACAGTACATGATCAATATTTGTTTGTCCGCCATGTTGGCAGCTGAGATCAGCGGCATTCTCGATTCTAATACTCAATCAGCACCAGAACTCAACAAAAGTGTCAGATTCCGACTGCGTGGTCCCTGACATCAGAGAAAATTTATATACAGTACAGTATTCAATTGTAGCAGTAACGTACTAACGTTATTAAGAAGAAAAAAACAAAAAAAAAAACGAGAGTCGGTTCCATGTCTCGCCAAGCTTATCCTCCCAACATGGTAGACCAACAATTACTGATCATGAGAGAGAGAGAGAGAGAGAGAGAGAGAGAGAGAGAGAGAGAGAGAGAGAGAGAGAGAGACTGAAAAGTATATCACGGTACAATAGGACTGGGCGATAATTCAATATCAATATGTATCGCGATAGGCACGTGATCGATAGCAATAGAAAATGTCAAACAGAGAAAAAAAAAAGGAACGCAAACCCTACTACGGCATTGTGCGGGTTGTCGGCAGGGAAATTATAATATAATTATCGCCCAGGCCTAGAGCTAAATGTGGTCAATTAAATATGCATTAATCAAACTGACTAAATTTACTGAAACAAAGTACGTCCATTAAAAGGCATTTACAAATAAAAATACATTTAAAAAGCAGTGAACTTCCCCCCCGACTCTTTAAAAACCAGCTTTACCGTACAGTCTTTTAATAAGTTTAGAAAGCTACATTTTATTTCTTTAAATCATTTTAACTTGCGTTTGACATCACGTCTGTTGACAGCTCATTCCTTTTGGGTGCAACCGTTGTTTGCTTTAAAACCTGAGCTCTACTCATCGACCCGAGTCTGCAGACCAGGGTTTACGTCAAATATGTTGTAAACACAGTTCAAGTATACTGCAGCTAACTAAAAGACCACAAAATGTTGCACGTTAGAGGAGTCGACCACGTGAAACTGGTTGAAAAATTCGGAAGTCGGCGACCGTCGAGAAAGATGAACAACAACAATTACGGGGATAAATAGGGTGGTAATTATAAATAAAAAAAAGTAGTCTATAGGACAGGATAACTAAAAGTTGTTCTTTTGAACGCGAAAAAAAATTAATTCGACCGGACAGGTAACTAACTTACCCGTCACCGGGACTTCGACTTGTCCACAGCGAGCCACAAAGAAACAAAAGTATCCCCAATAGCCTTACGGATATCCGTCTGGATGCCATTAAGATTGAGGAGCTCCTCTTGTTGACTAAATGTCAGATTTTCCTCCTCTTGTCACGCTGCATCGCCACTTATTTTTTTCCGAATCTAAAAGTAAAATGAAAGTAATCTTCCCGTGGTTTCCGGTCATGTCTTACAGAATAAAGTTGTATTGTTTCCGTGAACTGAGTTACTATTATTATAATAGAATTATCATTATTGCTCTTTTTTCTCACGCGAATTCTACTATTAGAAGAAGTAACAAAGGCACGTAATATTTTTTTCCATGAATACAGTAAATAACATGTTTTATATTTTATAGCATTAAATTGCATTTTATTTCAATATACTGTACTGTAATACAATGCACTAAAATGTAATATAATCTAATCTAATGCAAAGTACACGACATCGTCACAAAGTACAGTATGCGTATACTGTACATTTACGCCCAATACAACATGACATTACACAGTCTCGCCTTTGATGGCGAATAGCGGTATTGAGCTTACTGGTCGTGTGCACCTACTGACAAAAAACTTTTACTGAAGAAGAAAAGCCGGAAGTTAAAAGGGTAAAAACATGGCAGCGACCATCAGTTGTATAAAGCACAAAGTGTCGTGCGTTCAACCCTCGCTGGTCTTCACCCTCCAGAGCAAGACGTCCCCGGCCAGTGCGTGTGCTCGACGGGTTGCGGAAATTCGGAGCGTGAGAGCCGCAGCTAGCGCCACTGCGGACGTTCAACACAATGAGAGGTTCTGCTTGGAGCTGGTCAGGTGGGTCCACTCTCGGCTTGGCTGACAAGACAAGTTTGGGTGAAAGAGTTGGATACAAACACATACAGAAAAATCGGAGGATATAAATGCCCCTTTTCGCCCTTTAATTTATTAACCATGCTAAAACCAATCAACGGGGAACGTAAATATATGATACGAGGATTTTAAAAATGGATGGATCTATAAATATTTGGTTTAAAAAATAAAAGTCAGCGAGCCAATAGAACATACCTTGTTCTGAGCTGCAGCAGGAAAAAACTTGATCATCAACTGCTGCACTTAAGAGCAATTTGTTCTAAAGAAAGTACAATTAGAAAAAAAACATTCACACCGAATTATCTTGACTCTTGATTCTTAACTATTTTCATTTTATTAAATCGTGGGCCTGACAAGATCAGTATTTTTGTGCTGATCACCAATTAGCAGCATTTAAATAACGGAGCAATGTTCCATTTAAATATCATATACTGAGTCCTACTGTATTTACTTTTGATTTCTGTTTACAATCAACAAAACTATTATTTTGCGTTTTTGCCAATGTTTAATCATCTTTACAATGCTCCAACTGACCGAGATGCAACGGTGAAACATCAATGACCTCTTCGCTTCCTCCAGTGAAACATTTTGCGCTTTCATTGTTATTATTTTGACAGGTCTCTACTTCCGGTTTTTGCTTCCAAGAGTCGAAGTGTTGCTAATTGACGTTTCAAGTCGGCCGTTGTCAAGTACTTGTTGCCACTCAGAAGCACCCTGGGCCTAAATTCTTCCATACATTCTCAAAATATCTATTGTTTTGTATCAATATTAATGCAGTAGGCCCTCTTCTATCTATATTTATATATTTAACACGGCCTCCTCCCCCCTCAGGTCCAGGGACTACGAGGGCTTCGTGTGCTCCCTCCTTCTACCAGAGGCGGCGCGACGATCCGCCTTGGCTTTGCGTGCCTTCAATGTGGAGCTAGCACAGGCAGGTAGTCCCATCAGCAAGAAAGGATGTTAGGGGGGCAGTTTTGGGCTTGTTTTGGCACCATTGACAATTGGGAACTCGCTTGTCTCAGTTCGCAGCCATGTTGTTTGTGTAAACACCGCGCATCAGCAAAGAAATACTTTGAACGATAGAAACTGCTATGGAGAAAAATGTGAAAATGAGGCTTGTCCGTATCCACGTGGGAATTCAATTACAAGCTACGTATATTTCATGCGTGCATTTGTTTTCCTTACAAGGTGAAGGACTCCGTGTCCCAGAAATCTCTTGGTCTGATGCGAATGCAATTCTGGAAGACGGCCATCGAAGAAATCTACAGAGACAAACCACCCAACCAGCCAGTCAGCGTCGAGCTCTGGAGGGTAACTGGCACAATTATTTGACTTTTTAAACCCGCGTGCTTTCAATATCCACTCCCGGTCACTATTGAAAGCACTTTGAGCATTTATTGGATATCCATGTACTAGTATCCTCTTTGGTCTCGCTCCTAAAACTATTTAGCACACAAATTGAACAACTGTGTTTTACCAGCAATGTAATTTTCTTCTACTCCTGCCAGTTAACACCTACTACGCTGCTCTAGTAACACTACTTGGCCAACTACTAGGCATATGTTCCACACTAGTAGAGCTACTGGACCTTACCAGTTGCACCAAAATACGTCTTGCCTCACTAGAAACATGTACTTGACCTTCTAGTATGACCGACTAGTCTGCCTAAGTTGTCCTACTCATATGGAGAACAGTCACACAGTAGTAGTTTCAATACTCAGAATGTTTTTTTTTAAACACCCCATCAAGAAATGACCTGTCCCATTTTTTTACACGATGCATGTTCATATTTTAGGGCTTTTGAGAAGCTGGTTGAGCCAGTGTGGATTCTGTTTTGCAGGCGGTGAAGAAACATAACCTGACCAAGAGATGGCTGACAAGGATCATAACAGAAAGAGTAAGGCTCCTTAGACCATTAAAAAAAAAAAGGGAGGGGGGGAGACAGTGATCTACAATACAACAGTAGAGCGCCGCATGGAAAATTGGATAGATTGAAATGAATTATGGCGCTCTATTTCAGGAAAAGGATCTGGATGACAGAGGCTACCGAAACCTACAGGAGCTGGAGTCATATGCAGAGAACACTCAGTCCTCACTCTTGTTTCTGCTACTTGAGTCTTTAGGTTAGAAGGTCTCACAAGAACAACAAAAAATAGTTGCTGTTTTATGTATTTATGTATTTATTTGTTTTTTTTTTTAATCATTTGTGCATTTGGTTCTTGCGGCAGGTGTGAAGGACGTCCACGCAGATCACGCGGCAAGTCACGTCGGCAAGGCGCACGGGATCGTGACGTGTCTGAGGGCGACCCCTCATCACAGCAGCCGGCGCAAAGTCTACTTGCCCATGGACATCTGCATGCTGGTGAGATACCTTGCCGGTGTGCTACTCCATGACTGGATTTGCACGAATGTACATCAGAGGTGGCAAAAAAAAAGTACTCTTGCTCTGTACTTCAGTAGAAGAACAAATTCCTAAGTCTAAAAGGACCCTGGTCAAAGTAGGAGTACTGATACTGACCCTGTAATTAAAAAGTCAACCAAGTATAGACTCTGAAATCTCCTCACAGTATAAAAAAAAAATGTTTGTTTTTTGGTCTTTCGTTATTTTTAGCACGGAGCGTCCCAGGAGGAATTCATTCGCCGCAGCCAGGAGCAAAGCATACGGGACGTGGTGTACGACATCGCCAGTCAGGCTCACGTTCATCTGGAGCATGTCAGTACACACTTTTTGTTTTTTGGTCTTTCGTTATTTGTAGCACGGAGCGTCCCAGGAGGACTTCATTCGCCGCAGCCAGGAGCAAAGCATACGGGACGTGGTGTACGACATCGCCAGTCAGGCTCACGTTCATCTGGAGCATGTCAGTACACACTTGGCGTACAACGCAAGGCAACGCAACACAACAGAAACGAGCGGCTCGTCGTTTTGTGACGGTCATTCGTACTCCGTGACTTTCACGAACAACCCAGGCTAAACTTGGCTCCTCCCATACATACAAAGCTTGTTTCTCAGTGGAGACGTATCACTTCAACATCCTTCCTTGACACCAGTTACTATTTTCCTGTTTAGCCTTTGCATTTGGTGCCATCTTATGGTAACCCAGAATGCGACAGCACCAAAAAAAAACATGAAAAAGCGAGTTTTTCGACAAGGATTTGGTTCCACAGAAAAGAACACAAAGAGGTGAATTTGTAAAAAGTGAACCTTGACTCGGGAGGCGCTCACTGTATGTATTTTTTATGAGTTATCACCTTCGAGGAAGCATGTTGCCTGACGTTCACAGGTCTTTCTGGAGGTGTGAACATTCTTCAGTAATTAGCAGCAGAGCATCAGTGTGAAGGTCATTCGAGTGGCCGCTTGCTGTTTCTGCTTCTGCAATCTCACACACACATGATGAACAGAACAGCAGCTTGTGTTTTATTTTTGCTTTTGTCCCCCCCACCCCCGCCACCGCCAGGCACGCTCGTTCGGCCCCAGCGTTCCGGCAGCTGCGACGCCGGAAATGTGTTTTTAATGTGAGGAAAGAAAAAAAAAAAAGTGTTCATCAACCTCTTTGGTAGATACCGGGGAAATAAATGAAAATAAATACAATAAAATAATAAATACGAATCAATGCTTGTGGAGGCTCTCAGTCGTACAGGAAAGTTCCATCGTAGAAAGGGTTCTGTCAGTCGTCATCTGTACCTGTGGGTAAAAAACAAAAAACAA